GAGACAGCTCAGGGGGCAGGAGTGTATGGAGGAATGGACACTGGGAAGAGGTAACTATGGGGAGGAAGTGGGAGGGGAGCTGTTGCATTGTCGTAAACTGTGGTCAATGACATGAGATAAAGTATATGTGAATTGCTGTATGGAAAGTGAATTTGCTCTGTAAATCTTCACCCAAATCACAATAAAAAAAAAAAATTAAATGACAAAAAAAAAAAAGCACTACTTCAAGAAACCATAAGATATTTACATAAATGGAAGAACATACCTTGCTTATGGATAGGAAGATTCAAGATTGAACATTGTGAACTGCCCAACTCAAAACTCACTGCCATCGAGTCGGACCCAAGTTATAGTGAATTATATTGACCCCTCCTTGGGTTTCCGAGGCAGTATCACTACGGAAGTAGATTGCCCAACCTTCATTCCAAGGAGTGGCTGTTGTTGTTGTTATGTGCTGTTGAGTCAGATCCAACTCATAGCGACCCCTCCTTGGGTTTCTGAAGTGGTATCGCTATGGAAATAGATTGCCCAACCTTCTTTTCGAGGAGTGCTTCTGGTTAGCAGTCAAGTGCCTTAGGCACCATGCTACCAGAGTTCCTCAAGGGGTGGCTGCCTTCTGGTTAGCAGTCAAATGCCTTAGGCACTACACCACTGGAGCTCCTCTGAACTACTCAAAGCAATCTATATATTCAATGCAATCCCAATCCAGATCCCATTAACATTCTTTAAGGACATGGAAAAATCAATCACTATTTTTATATGGAAAAGAAAGAGACCTCGGATAAGCAAAGCACTACTGAAAAAGAACAATAAAGTAGGAGGTCTCAACTGCCGGATCTGGAAACCAACTGTACAACCACAGTAGTCAAAACAGCCTCGTATTGGTACAATGACTGACACATAGACCAGTAGAGTAAAATTGACAACCCAGAAATAGATCCATCAACTTATGGTTAGCTGATTTTTGACAAAGGGCTGAAATCCATTTAATGGGGAAGAGATTGTCTCTTTAACAAATGGTGCAGGCAAAACTGGATATCCATTTGCAGAAAAATGAAACAAGAGTACCTCACACCATACACAAAAACTAACTCCAGATATGGAACAAAGACTTGAATGTGAAACCTGAAACTGTAAAGTTTCTCAAGGAAAAAATAGGGACAAATTTAGGGGCCCTAATTTAGGGCATAAATAGACTGTCAAGCATACCCCAAAATGCACCAACAGCAGAAGATAAACTAAATGAATGGGACCTTCTAAAAATTAAATTTTTATGTGCTTCCAAAGACTTCTCCAAGAGAGAACCTACAGCTTAGGAAAAAATATTCAACAGTGATACATCTGACAAGGAACTTATCTCTGAAATTTATAGAAAACTCCAACACCTCAACAACAAAAAGACAATCCAATTTAAAAATGGGCAGAAGACATTAATAGACACTTCACCAAAGAGGATATTCAGGTGGGCAACAAACACATGAAGAAATGTTAACGATTATTAGCCATTGTTGTTGTTGTTGTTGTTGTTATGTGCCGTCGAGTCGGACCTGACTCATAGCGACCCCTCCTTGGGTTTCTGAGGCAGTATCACTACGGAAGTAGATTGCCCCATCTTCCGAGGAGTGGCTGGTGGGTTTGAACCGCCAGCCTTCTGGTTAGCAGTCAAGTGCTTTAGCCACTATGCTACCAGAGCTCCCTATTAGACATTAGAAAGATGCAAATCAGAAAATGAGGTACCATCTGGCCCCAGCACTAAGGGCAATGTTGAATAAGAAAGAAAGTAACAAATGCTGGCAAGGATGTGGAGAGATTTAGACTGTCATACACCACTGGTGGGACTGTAAAATGATACAACCACTGTGGAAAGCAGTATGGTGATTCCTTAAAAAGCTGGAGTTAGAAATACCATTTGACCTAGCAATCCCAGTACTTGGTATATATCCTGAAGAAGTGAGAGCCAAGACAAGAACAGATACATGCCCATGTATGTTCATCGTAGTCCTGTTTACAATAGCAAAAAGATGGAATCAACCTACATGCCCATCAGCAGAAGAAAACCATGGTATATACACACAATAGAATAGTATGCAGCACTAAAGGATAGTGTAGAATCTACAAACACCACATAATGTTGGATGAACTTGGAGGACATTATGCTTAGTGAAATAAGTCAATCACAGAAGGACAAATACTGTATTAGTTCATTATTGTAAAAAGAGAAGGAAAGGTTTATATATGGAAGGAAACTTTCTTTGTTGGTTACCAGAGGTGAGAGGGGAGGGGAGGGAACACTGAAAAATAAATAAATAGAGTAAATTAAATACTTTAATTAACAGGAAAAAAACTACTAAAAAAAAGGTGATTGTCTACTGGCCTTCTGGTTTCATATTGTATAGCTCCTCTGCACTATTATTTACCTATATCTCCATAATTTATGTTACTCAGCTCCTCTTATATATACTTTGTAAAGAGCTCTGGTAGCACAGTGACTAAGGCATCTGACTGCTAACCAGAAGGTTGGTGGTTCAAACCCACCAGCCACTCTGTGGAAGCAAGATAGGGCAATCTACTTCCATAAAGATTTACTGCCTCAGAAACCCAATGAGGGTTTGAGTTGGAGTCAACTTGATGGTAGTGGGTTTGGTTTTGGTTACATATACTTTGTAAATTTCTAGAACATCCTCTGTGTGCCATAATTCTTAATTTTTCTTCAGTACTTTGCCTGAGCTTTGACAGAGCTTCTAGAAGCCGAGATGGTAGTTTGGTAAATTCTTGCCTCATTGGATATGCTTGTATGTTTGTTGTTTCTTTTATAGACAGTTCAAGAAGAAGAAAGAGAAATTTACAGACAGCTGCTACAGATGGTCACAGGGAAACCGTTTTCAGTAGCCAAACCCACTACACATTTTCCTTTACACCTGTGAGTCACAGAAATATATTTTAATTGAATAAATTCTACAATTTGTTATTTGATATTGAAGCTATGTTCTTCTCTTGCTAGGTCTCGGTGTCTTAGTTCCAGTAAGAATACTTTGAAAGATCCACTGTTTAAAAATGGAAATTCTTGTGCCACTCAGATCATTGGCTCAGATACTTCATCGTCTGGATCAGCCAGTATTTTAACTACCCAGGAACAACTATCCCACAGTGTATACCCCTTATTATCTTATACACCAGAAGTTGTTGCACTTGGACCGAAAGATTCAGATCCTCTCCATCAACCACACCATCACCACTCTGTTCCACATCAGCCAGATACCTTACCAGCTTCGAATACACAATCTGAAGGTAAAAATGGTACCATAAAAATGTATTTTAATCCTCATTGCCAATTGGAGCTCTGGTGGCATAGTGGATAATGGATAACCTGAAGGTCAGCAGTTCAAACCCACCAGCTGCTCCACGGAAGGAAGATGGGACGATCTACTTCTGTAAAGATTTACAGCCTGTTTATTGAATCTATGTTAATTACAGGCAAAATTGTTATACATATATAACTCAATTAAAGTATAAGATAACTTAGATAGTTATAATTTAGGTAACCAGGCCATTAATAAACTAAATATACAAATAACATACTTTTTTTCTTACATGGTGAGGCAAATGATTTGATAGAACATTTTATTTAAAAGGTTCACTTCCTGTGCAGAGTCTAGAGTCAGTACATTCAGTCCAGTTAGTTAGCACTTTCTCTGTTTCTAGTACTTTACAATAAAAATTAGGTAGTCTCAAGTTCTAGGAGATTTGAAATTTCAAATAAGCTTTGAAGTGTAAGTATTTATTACATAAATGTACTAAATCTGTATAGAAGATTTATTATACATTTTAGAATGGTTGTGGAGAAGTTTTAGAAACAGCTTCCAGGTAACTGTCTTTCATTTTCTTAGAAGCAATCCAGTAAATTAAAGTTTTGCTGTGATAGGTTTTTTGTTTCCTTAGTTTTCCCCCTTTTATAGGTATGTATTATGTGTATATGTGTAGTAGATATTAGGTATGTAATTAAGTACAAGTTTTAGATTAAATGGTTAGAGTTTAGGGATCTTTTGAGAGGGAGAATGCCAGTTTGAGGGTCTATCCTCCTCCTTTGGCTTGTCTGATTTTTTAAAAAAAATCCATTCTACACTTCCTGAACATTCTCATTTGGGCATTTAAGTTTTTGGTTATAAATGGTTACAAATCATTATAAAGCTACACATATTCATGAAAACTTGTGTGAAATCTTGTTAGATGATTGAGAACTGCCATTTCAAACAGAAAGAAACCTTTTGACCTCAGAAACATGTCTTGTTTGATGCTTAGGTACAGCCAAACTGGAACAGATAGTAGATTACATGGTTAATTACTTTCTTGTAACATATAAGTGTACTCTAAATGAGGTTGTAATCGAGCACTTTGGAAGGACGTAGTTCCTGTTTCTGAGAAATATTCAATGCAGAAAGTAATGATAGGATGTTAAGATTATTCTTTTCAGACTGCTGCTTCTCCTATAGTTGTATTTCTCTTCCTCTCTGTCTTTCTCTCTTTCTCCCTTCCTCTCTCTTTCTAAGACCTTATTCAGTTTCATGGTAGTTCATGAACTAAAGCTTTTTAAGAAATCTTGGCATGTTCTTGTTCCCCAGGAACAGAAGGAGGAAACACAGGGAGCAAGCATAGCCCAGGAGTAGATGCTGAAGGACAACTCTGCTTGTATTTCAAAGTGACTGTCTTATTTGTGAAGGCATGCTCTTCACTAAGACCTGTTTCTGGTCTCAGTGAAAATGGACCTGCCTCCTTTCTCTTCCATCTTACCTTTGTCTTTATGCTATGTTATTTTTGTGGAAATAGAATATAATGAAGTATGGGAGCTTGAATTATAGATATCTAGAAAGTATAACTATGGAATTTTATTAATAATGAAATGCCCTTGTTTCTTTGTTTAGGATCAGACTCTGTCATTTTACTCAAAGTGAAAGATTCCCAGACTCCAGCTCCCAGGTAAACTTTGGAAAAAGGTCATTCTTAACACTATTGTTTTCCCTCTCTTTAGTTACAATTTCTTTACAACCACTAAGAGTTAATATAAAAGGTAAAACTGCCTCAATTCAGATATTTATCATGTGTTGTCTGAATTATTTTGATGACTTTCTAATTGATCTTTCTTCCCCCAGCCTTCATTTTGTCCTTCATTCCATCTTTTACCATATTCTCAATCCATTCTCTTCCTTGTTCTTTGGTCCATGTCCCATGCTGCAGCCAGAGTGATCTTTCTAAAATGCATTTTCATTGAACTCTTTCAAGGGCACCTTATCAGACAGAATCAAGTCTAAACTCCTTAGTGTGGTATACAGAGAACTTCAACAAGTCTCATTTCCTATTATACATTCTTTCCTTTAACAAATATTTATTGAGAGCTTACTGTGTGCCAAATACTAGTAGACACTGGGAATAACAGCTGTGAACAAAATGCAAGTTCTCAAGGAGCTTCTAGTTGAAGGGAGGGATAGGGACAAATAATGAACAAATAAACATATTCCAGGTAGTGATAAATAGTGATAAGAAAAAGAGAGCAAAAAGACTAGGGTGAGGGAGCAAGTCTCTGATAAGATGAAATTTGAGCAGAGAGACATGGTAGAGGTGAAGAAGAGTACCATTTGGAAATATAAGACTCTTTTGTGTGTTTTTTATGCTGGGATATTTTCAGTTCTGTAAGTATGATATGAACTTTCTTGCCTTCAGATTCAGTGTTCATTCTGACTGGAGTGTCCTCCTCATGTTAGCTTGTCTATCTGACAGTGGTCTCCTTATTCTTTAAGTCTCAATTCATATGAGATCTTCTAGATATCAAGTACTTTTTTTCTTTGTAATTCAGTAGGTTATGTATTGTATTGTATTGTATTGTTACGTCTTTGCCATATATGGCCTTGGCAATTCAGTTGATAATACCTGCTTTCCATTCAGAAGCTTAGGGATAATAGCATGTTCTTTTTTTTATCTCAGTTCTCCTATTTCTTTGTAGCTCCTATACATGTTCTAAACTCGAGATTTTTTTTTTGAACTCTAGATTTTTTTTTTTTTTTTTTAATCTCTATTTGTTATAGTTCTCACGGAGACTTTGTAGTTTGGGTTCTCTATTATTTCTGTATTTTTTGGAGTCAGCCCTGGATTCAGATTTTGACTTTTCCAGTAAAGAACCTCAGTTCTTTATAAAGTGCTGGTATTAATAGTTTACCACTGAATTGTTGTGACGATCACTTAGATAAAGCATGTGGTACACAAAAGTAGATGTGCTTTCTGGGAAGAAGTTGATCTCGGGTGAAGAATGCTCTCATTTCCTTAATGATTCTTTTTGAAGTCTCCGTTTCCTTTATGGAGGATTTCTCCAAGTGATGACTAAGAATGAGGTGGAAGGAGAAAAACTCTTTTGGGATGGCTGATTGAGTAAAAGCTGTTTGTTGAAGTTGAAGCCTGCTTTCCCACAGCTTGGTTGATCGGCTCTCAAGTCTTAAACTCCCACTACTGCCTCACAATTAAGTTCCAGCAAAGAAGACGTGCCTTTATTTCCCAAAATATACCATGCTGTTTTATGCCTCTGTGCCTTTATACATTCTAATCCATCTGCCTGGAATTCCACTTCTCTCCTTGTCCACTTGATAAACCCTTATTTTGCTTTTCACAATCTGATGCAGGCATTATTTTGTCTTAGAAGCTTTCTGACTTCTCCAGATAACATTAGTTCTTCCATCCAGAAGTACTTCTATCTCTGTACTTTGCTTATTACTAATATTATTACACTTATCATCCAGTGCTGATCATAGTGCCAGACATGTGATGGGTTCTTATTAATTAAATCTTTGTTAAATGAATGAATTTCCTGGAGAACACGAAATGCTCTGTTGAATAGCCCAGTATTTATTTCATCCTCTTGGGTTAATGCCTTCGTCTGTTGAAAGACACTGTATAGTAGTAGAGCATGGGTCTTTGGAATTGGACAAACATGGTCCAATCATGGCTCTTCCAAGACAAATTCTCCTTTGAACCTCAGTTTCCATTTCTGTATAGTATGAGTAATAATTCTTTGTTATATATTATATTGAAATTTAAATAATAGGGAGATTGTCAAAAGGTTTAGCTAATTGTAAAATAGAATTTTACATGGAGAGCACTAAGTGGATGCTAAATAAATAGTTATTCTTACTGTATCCCTCAGATATATGAGATATAATGTATAGTCTGTTTGGAAAGCAAATTCTCCTGCATTTTGCTTTCCTCAGCCAATGGATACATTGATTAATTGAAGAGAAGTGCTTACACCTGCATTATTCCTCTAGTCAACAAATATTGAATGCCTCTTACTTGCCAGGTACTATTCTGTGTGCGAAGAAAATAGCAATAAACAAAAAAAGACAAAAACCCTTATCCTCATCAAGCTTATATTCTAATAAGGGAAGCAGGCAAACTTGAGTAACATGATCTGTTACTGTGAAATTCTGGATGATTCTTGTCACTTTATATTATATGATAAGTGTGCTCTCATGTTTTATTTGTTTTTAGTATCATATTCTAAATAATCTTCATAGTACTACATCTCTGGCTTTCGATCTTGGCTGTTACATGAATTGTCCACTGTGGCAAGGGGATAAGCCACCTCATGTGTTCTCCTCCCTTTAACCTCACCGAGAGTGGAAAGGCAATAGAACAACATTTTCGTTGTCAAGTCCTAGCCTAAGAGTTACTGGGAACACTAATATTCAAAAGTTATGCTAAGGAGCAAGGGTTGCTCTCTTAGCCCTTGTTTCTAACCTTATAGGACAGATCGAAAGGGACTGTAATCACTGTTTTATAGATCTGGAAACTAGGGCCCATAGAAGTGAAGTGACTTGTTCAAGACCACAGAACTAACAGGGACAGCTCCAGAAGATTCAGGTCTTGTTCTGGTTACATAGTGCCGCTCTGACAAGAAATATACCACAAATGGGATGGCCTTAACGAACAGGAGTTTATTCTTACAATTTGGAGGCTTTAAGTCCAAGTTCAAAGTGCCAAGCTCTAGGGGCTGGGTGAAAGCCCCTCAACCTTGGGGTCCAGCTCTGCCTCCTGCTCCAGACCACTGGAGCTAGAGGCATTTCTTCACTCAGACAGCTGCTGGCTGCTGAGGCTGAGAAGCCCCAAGGTTGACAAGTCAAAAGGCACAGTCCTGATGTTACCAATGCACACAGCAGGCCATTAACTTAAGTCCACTGTAAGTCCCAAGGTCGGCAGAACATAGCAGGCTGCTGAGCAATGACACAACTACATGCAGGGTCCAAGCGTGCCAAAGGCTAGAGACCATTCTCAAAGCTTCTCCTTATATACAGAAAGCAGACCACATACCCAAAGGCAGCTACTCAGCTGCTCCCAGTAGATTCCACCATGGAGTTGATTACCAGTCTCATCGTGGGGAATACTACATCCAGCTGCTCAGCCACTCAACCAGGCCTAGCCAAGCTGACATATAAACATAACCATCACAGGTCTCTTAACTCCTGCTTTGATGCTCTATCTGCTTCTTTTATGTATATATATAGGAGTTTTCTTTGGAAAAGTGTTTACTTTTCTATTTGTTTCTATGAGAGACCCCTCAGTTAGGGGTTGTAGGGAGATGAGGAAGTTTGATAAGAGCAAGAAGCACTACAACAATTAACATGCCTGGGACTCTGCTAAGCATTATTCACTTGGATTGTCAGCAGGAGCCATATGGAATAGAATTGGCCTCTCATCATATTTTGTTGATCTTCTGCTTTGGTTCACTCACTCATTAACCATTTGGTATGGACTGTTCTGTGGGTAAGCAGCCCTGGTAGTGCAGTGTTAAATGTGCCCCTGCTAGCCAGAAGGTTGACAGTTCAAACCCACCAGCTGCTGTGTGGGAGAAAAGACCTGCTGATCTGCTTCCATAAAGTTTACAGCCTTGGAAACCCTATGAAGCAGTTCTGCTCTGTCCTATACTTGCCCTAAAGGGTCGTTATGAGTTGGAATTGACTCAGTGATAATAGGTTTTCATTTTGTGGATAGGGTTTTTCTGTATCTGCTATGATTGGGTCAGTACATTTTGAATCAAGTAGACTGATAAGAAATTGTTGAAGAACCTGTAAGATTTTATTTACTCTTTAATAAATCTGTCAGTCTGAACCATTTCAGAAGAGTAAAGTTACAGTTTAATATATTTTTTTGATAAGTGATATGCTCTTTCACAAGTTTGTCTCATGCAAGCAGGGAGCTTTGCTAAACTTAATTTCTGTGCTGAACCTTAGGTCATCTTTTTAACTAATATGCATGCAAATGACTCATTTGTGTTCCTTTAGGTCCCAGTTACAATTATTTTATGTAATTTAAGGAGCTCCTATATTTATTATAAAGGAGCTCTGATAGCACAGTAACTAAGGCATCTATCTGACTGCTAACCAGAAGGTTGGTAGGTTGGTGGTTCAAACCCACCAGCCACTTTGTGGAAACAAGCCTGGGCAATCTACTTCTGTAAAGATTTACCACCTCGGAAACCCAGTGGGGGTTGCTATGAGTCGGGATCGACCCGGTGACAGTGGGTTTGGGTTTTTTTTTTTTTTTTTACTTATTTCATACTTGTGAAAAATTCTTATAAGCAGTTTAAATGATTGGCTTTGTTGGTGAAGATATTTGTGTTTTCTCATAAACCACCTGCTCATTTGTCACATTTTTTTCTTTTAACACCAATAGTCCTACCTTTTTCCAGGCAGAGCTGTGGATCAAAGAATTGTAAGTTACTTGGTTTTGGTATCATTTTTCCTTCTTAATCACTTCATTTTCAATTAGAAGAAATCAAACAGTTAATCATCACCCTGCTTATTTTTAGTCATTAAGAATTATCTATTTATACTTTTAAGTTGTTGGGTTTTTTTAAATTCTTTTGGTGACATTTATATGCTCAGATTTATTGAATCTTTAACTTTTTAAATCTATTAAATGACAATTGTTGAAGCCAAATTGAACTGGAAAAATATTTCAAAGTTAACTAATATGTAAAAAGAAAAACAGATATCCTTATTTTTATATTAGTAAAATTAATTTATTGAATAGTTTATATTTTTGGAGTTTGCAAAATCACCGAAAGCATTTAGTCTCTAGGTTTCAAGAATTCACTTTTAGGTATCCAAACTTCCTATTTTTATTGAATTAAAAAAACAAACAGAAAACTCATATTTCTTCTTTTGGCTCATAAATACAGTGATGTTCGAATTACAATTCAGTGGTATCTTCTCCTGTATTACTTTCTCCTTTGGGGTTCGTTACCGTTTTTGGATTTCCAGAATGAAGCTTCACTTAGAACGATGTTCAGAAAAGGACTATACAGTTATAAATATCCACAAAATTTATCTGTTCACATCCAGGGCCAACTGATATTTTTCATAATTTAAATAAAAATGGTAGGATAATTTCAATAATACCAGGCAGTTTCACCCAATGTATTAAAATATAAATGTAGGAATAAGTTACTGTAAAGATTTTAGACTTTCTGTTTGTGAGTTTTGTATTTAATGTTCACTGTGCATCAGCGTTGTACTTGATACTAAGAGGATGGTCTACATTTGTGTCACTATCCTTTTCATACCCTAGAACTAGTGTTTACGATTCTCGAGCAAGGGAGAGATTGCGTCAGATTGAGGAGCAGAAGGCACTGGCATTGCAACTTCAAAATCAGGTAAAAAATTGGCACAGAATTATAAATAGCACATCCAAGTTGAAACTTTTTGGCAAAGTTATTTGAATTTGGGATTAAAGCTGTTGTAATTGCAAGATTGTATCATAGCATAGCATTGCATGATAAGTGATGTCATTTCTTTGTCTAGCCAGTCAGTATTAGTGTACATAAGACAAATAGTGGATTCTTTCATCCCACTTATTCTGAAGTTCTGACTTTCAGAGATTGCAGGAACATTCAGTACATGATGCAGTAGAACTGCATCTTCGTGTACCTCTTGAAAAGGAGATCCCTGTCACGATCACCCAAGAATCAGAAAAGAAGGATCCTAAATCAACTGATAGTGAAGATGAATTTCCTGAAATTACACAGGTAATTTACTACCATAAATTCTCACACTAGCAAATGTTGTGTTTAGAAAGAATGCTTTGGACAGATAAAACATTAAAAATGATAGAACATGTAATACTTAAATTTTATTACATGTGCCTGCCTTCATTTGTATTATATTACCTATCTTGGCTTTATTTTTAAAGGATTAATGAATATTTTTAAAAGAATTAAGATGGCTTTTAGGTGCTTTGATGGTGCTATGGTTAAGGCATTGGGCTGCTAACCAAAAGATTGGCAGTTCAAGCCCACCAGTTGCTCTGCAAGAGAAAGATGAGGCTGTCTGCTTCCATAAAGATTTATAGCCTTGGAAACCCTGTGGGGGTCAATAAGAGTCAAAATTGACTCGATGGCAGTGGGTTTGGTTTTGGATTTAACTACTTCAGTGAAAAAGCAGTTAATAAGTTTACATTTCATTTCATGTCCGTTTTGACTTAATGAATGTGTACAGTACTTTGGCATCAGATGGTAAGTTCAGGCTTACTATTAATAAATTATTTTTTAAATTGTTAAGTAGTAGATGGTGCCTGGCTACCACTGTCAACCACTCAATCTGTGTAGGAGATCTGAGTAGAGTGGGAGAACAATGTGGAACAAAATTCAAAATCTAAAAAAAAAGCAAGTTTGCTGGTCTGATGGAGCCTGGTGAGACCCCTGAGACTGTGGCCCCAGCTACCCTTCAGGTCTGGAATGGAACTCACTCCTGTGGCTTCCAGCCAAATAATAGACAGGCATATGGGGTGAACATTTACATCAGGTTGATATACTACTTGGAGTGTATCATGGGAGAATGGAAGGAAGGGCGTTATATGCACAAGGAGACAGCTGGGGGGTGGGAGTGCATGGGAGGGAAGGATGCAGGGAAGAGGTAACTACGGGGAGGAAGTAGGAAAGAAGTAGGAAAGAGCTGTTACATTGTGAGGAACTGCAAAAATGTGTATGAACTGCTGTATGGAAAATGAATTTGCTTGATAAACTTCCACGCAAATTACAATAAAAAATTTTTTAAAAATTATTCAGTAGTAAAAGCCAAGTATAGAAAAATTGGAAAATACATAAAAATCTGTAGATTTTAAAACAGTATGTTCCTTAATCTACATGTCTCTGAAAAACTGTCATATAATTGGTAAGTGTAACACATTTATTGTAGTTATGGTAGATTCCATATTTCACATTAGGAAAAAAAAAGTCTAGGAAAATAGTATCTAAAAAGATACTATCTTTACTCCTTTACTGTCTTTTGAGAAATAAAGTATGTGCTCTGTTTCTCAGGAAGCCATTTGGACCAGAGATATAAAACATAATTACCCCATCTCATGGGCTTAGAAAAATCAATAGCAGCAGGTTATTTCAGACTTTAGAAATAATAGGAAACAAGCGTCCATGTGTGCTAAAAAAGAATGGAGGCCAACATGGGATGGAAGGTAATAATCAGGGAGATTTACTGAGAAGGAATAGGAAACAAAATGTTAGTCAGAAGTAAAATAAGCAGTAATGTAGTCTGGGGATAGTATAGGGCTTGGTGAGAAATCCAGCCTGAAGCCATGTATTTTTGATTTCTTGACACTTTTTTGGTTCCCTAGGAAATGGAGAAAGAAATAAAGAATGTATTTCGTAACGGGAATCAGGATGAAGTTCTCAGTGAAGCATTCCGCTTAACTATTACACGCAAAGATATTCAAACTCTAAACCATCTAAACTGGCTCAATGATGAGGTAATCTTATGCCCTTTTTTTGTATTCAAATAGTAAGTAAACATTATTTGGAAACTAAATGAAGGACATTAGTTCACCCTTTCTCAAAAGGTGCTTCTTAGATGATCTGCTTCAGAATCACCTCTCAAAGACCTCTCTATTTTGAATAAGTATGAGGGAGTGTGGGGAGAGATGCAATTTTAACAGACATCTCAGGTGATTTTTATATACTTTAAAGAACCAGGCATCTGTCCTTCATTCAGTTCAGCTGAGCATGTTGTGGCATGAAGAAATACTTTGGGATTTTTAAATAGGAATCCATCTCTACTTCCTTTTCTATCTCTGAGGAGCCCTCATGGTGCAGTGGTGTAGCACTCAGCTGCTAATTGAAAGACTGGCAGTTTGAACCCATCAGCTGCTCCATTGGAGGAAGATGTGGCAGTCTGCTTCCATAAAGGTTTACAGCTTTGGAAACCCTGTGGGGAAGTTCTCCTCTGTTATGTAGGGTAGCTATAAGTTGGAATCAAATCTGCAGCCATGGGTTTGGGTTTGGGTTTTTTTCTGTCTCTGCTTGTTCTAGGCTACTTAAGTTATGAGACATAAGCTTTCTAAGATAGTCTCCATTAATAATTTTTTAAAAAAAACTGACATTGAAAAAATTGTATTACTATTCAGTATTTGATGTAGTGAGGAAAAAAGTATGGCCCTCAACTCTAAATTCCACTTATTAAGTATACCAATTACACTACAATCTTTAAACTGATCTCTCCTAGTCTTATACTGGTGGGAACCTGTTTTATTTCAAAAGAATATTTGTATGGCAAAAGAAGAAAACTGGTGTGGGCATCTTTTCCTTTACTTAAGTACCTCCTTTCTTAGGCTCACTAAGAGTATCCCTGCCTGATGTGGGTATACTCAAGCTTCAAAGCTGTGGAGGAGTTTCAGATACTCAGTGTTGTAAATACTAGATACTGTAGATACTAATTGCCTATTCTTGCACACCTTCCAAATAATAATATTGGCTAACAACTACTGAATATTTACTTCATGTTAGGCATGATAAGCTACAGTTTTATCATCTCCATTTTATAGATGAGGAAAGCTGGTATATAAAGACTAAGAAACTTGCAAGATCACACAGCTAATAAGTAACAGAACCAGTATTCAGACCCAAGCATTGTATCTTATTTGTTATACCATACCATCTCAGAATCTTATATTGGATTCTGTCTTAGGATCAGGTATATAGAACTTTGGAGCCATAGATCAGTCCTAGTAAGTTGATTTTCTCTAGGGCCACTAGCCCTATTCTCTTTGTCATCAGTCTTTTTATAAGATAAAAGTTTCAAAAGCTCATCACTCCCTAAATAATATCTTTGACCAAGATCGGTAGAGAAGGCACATTTTTATAGTCTTGCTTTAGGGGAAACCACTTTTGTTCTTTGGGCTCAGAAATGTAACATTAGAACATTGGATCAAATAATAGGAGGGGAAGGAAAAAGGGAACTCTCAGCAAATCAAAGGGCAAAATGAAAATAAAGGACAGATAAAAGTATCCAGTGATCAGGTGTGTTTGATTTGGAGACAGTAATCTATGTTTTCTTGCCATTTTTTTTTTCTGCCTGTCACTGATTGAGGGGAGGGGTTCAGTTTTTCCAACTGAAAATTGGAAATTTACTGTTGTAAATTTTGTAAAATCTTCTAGGGGGCAGCAGTGAGTAGGACATGAGCAGACTTCTTGCTATTTGGTGTGGCATTTACCTCTGAGATCTCTTACAGAGGCAGCATTCATCAGGACATATTTTCCATTCCCTGAGCCCATTAGAGACTGGATTTTTAGCAAGCAAAGTTAATGGAAATGACATTATTTAGAGGAGACAAGGGGAAGGAAAGATTCCTTGTCTATTTTATCCACGTCACACCTACTCATAATTTTTGTAGGGAGTGCTTACGCCTGCTGGATTCAGAATAATGTTAATCTTGCGAACAGGTGCCATTTCATATGTTCATGATGATGATGATAACTATTTTTAAAAGCACCATTTTCAAAGTACCACACTTCTTAAGCTTTCACAATTAATTGCCCTTGAGAAGCTAACACTCTGATGGAATATAGTATGTATCCATAAATACTGGTACACATTTAAAAATACTTAATTCTCTTTCTCAATTGTGGCTCTCAATCTTTGGAAAGTAATTTCTCATTTCTTAAATGTTATTCTTCCCTCAAACAGAAATTCTTATTTATAACCAATTCTCCTCTTTTTAAATATCCTGTCAATTTTATAGGATTTTTAAAAAAGCTTTATCCAGGGTAGATGAGTAACACATTATTCTTAACATTTTATAGACAAGGAATAAGATTTAGGAGGTGAAAGGAGTAAGATTTAGTGTATAAGGAAAATAAAATCTAGAAGTTGTCCTGTAATTTTCTGTACAGACTACCCTTTCTCTGGTTTCTTTCCTAAAAGAGTAGGCTATAGTGCATTTTCATACAATAGCCTTTAAAAGGGAGCTCTGGTAGCATAGTGCCTGAGGCATTTGACTGCTAACCAGAAGGATGGTGGTTCAAACCCACAGCCACTCCTCAGAAGGAAGGTTGGGCAATCTATTTCCATAGTGATACTGCCTCGGAAACCCAAGGAGGAGTCACTATGAGTTGGATCCGACTCAATGGCGGTGAGTTAGAGTGAGTTTTTGAGCAGTGAGTTTTTGAGACTTTAAAAAAATATTTATGAATTATATTATAAATGGATGAAAGTTAAATTCCATATAGCTTCAAAGCACTAATGAGTGACAAGATTGTGTTTTACCTCAACATAAGAAAATGGAACTTTTCAAAAATGGAGTGGAGGAATAGGCTGCCTTGTGAAGAATACAAAAGGAGGCTGAAAGACTGATAATATCAGAGCTGTTGTAAATGGGGCTTTCTATACTGAGTCAGGAGATGAATTATTAATAGAAATATCTAATTAAGGGAAGGAGGATAGGGTTAAAGAGAGGAGGAATTAATTGTAAAATAGATTGAAAGTCACATGAAGTATTTTAAAATGAAGTTTATACTAGAAATTACTTATTATATGTTATTGGAATAGATAGGAGCTCTGGTAGCATAGTGCCTAAGGCATTTGACTGCTAACCAGAAGGCTAGTGGTTTAAACCCACCAGCCATTCCTTGGAAGGAAGGTTGGGCAATCTACTTTCATAGGATACTGCCTTGGAAACCCAAAGTGGGGTCCCTATGAGTCGGGTCCAACTTAACGGCACATAACAACAACAAATTTGGAGTAGATGACTTCTGAAATCCCTTCTGATTTTAAGATGAGTTAATGATCTTGAGGAGAGGACTGTTTTGGGCTTTGTATGTCTTTGTATGGGCAGATGGTTCTGCTGCTTAGAGGGTACAGGGTGCAAGGCATCTGATAAATTTAGAAATACATGGAAATAATATAGGCATATAAGTATATGGATTTTATGTCTGCTTCTGGTCATGCCTGAAGTAAAAGGAACCAGGTATACCCTTTTCAACTTAGCTAAAAAACTAGAAAAAGTATATGAAACAAAAAGTTTTCAGACAATGGATAACAGGCAATGCAGGGCAGTGATCCCCTAGAGAAGAGTGACCCTGATGATGTCCCCAGCTTACTGGGATGATGTGTGTATTTGGGGGTGAGGGGTAGAGGGATTGGCAGTGCCTGGCAATCTTGCTGAGTTGAGACAGTTAAGAGTGAATTCAGGGAAACCAAAACAACTAAGCTTTGTAAGGCAGAATACTGGAGGGGCGATTACTGCACAAAGAGAAAGCTCCAGAGATCTGCAGAGGGATCCACTCAGGTCTTTGGATGAGTACTGATGTGTGCATGTCAGAAAGAAAGTATCAGAGGCTGGGGAAAGAACCACCAGAAGGTAGGAATCAGCAGTCCTCACAGCTAACACAGGGCTGAGAATAGTTCATGTTCCAACCAGCCAGAGTGGAGACCTTAAGTCACAGGGCATTGAATAGATCCCTCAGAGTTAGGGCCAAATTATAAAGGCTGCTCTGGATCCATTGTCATACAGCTTGAAAATAAGCCTTGAAAACTTAAAACTGGATTCAGGTAACTTAACTATCACAGAACAAAGTGTGACAATATTTAAAGGAATATAACAAATTCCAGCACCCAACAGTGTAAAATTCCTACTATCCAGCATCCAATCAAAAATGACCAGGCCTGCAAACACGGCGAAAAATACAACACATAATAAGGGGGAAAAAAATCAATCGCTAGAAACAGACCCAGAAATGACAAAGATGATTGAATTAGGCCTGCAAACATGGAGACAAATACAACACATAATAAGGGGAAAAAAAATCAATCGCTAGAAACAGACCCAGAAATGACAAAGATGATTGAATTAGCAGAGAAAGATGTTAAAACACCTATCATAAATATACTCTATACATTCAAGATGGTAGAGGACAAATGGAGATTATTAAGAGAGAAATGGAAGATATTTTTTAAAAGACCCAAGTTGAACTTCTAGAGATGAAAAAAAAAGTAATATCTGAAATGAAGAATACATGGGATAAGATTAACAGCATATTAAACACTGCATTAAAAAAAATTAGTGAATCTGAAGCTATAGCAATAGAAACCATCCAAAATGAAACACAAATAAAAGGCTAAAGAAGGATGATTAGGACATCAGTGAGCTGAGAGATGATAGGAGTCTTACATGTAATTGGAATTCCAGAAGGAAAGATGGTGGGGAGAGAGTGTCATAAAAAATGTTTAAAGAAGTAATGGTGAAAGACTTTCCAAATTTGAAAACTATAAACTGACAGAAACAGGAAATTTAGCATACCTCAAGTAGAAGAAGCAGCACAGTATATAATAATCAAATTGCTGAAAACAAATGATAAAAAGATATTGAAACCAACCAGAGGAAAAAAGACACATTACATACAGTGGAACAAACACAAGAATGACTGTTTTGGTCAGAAACCATCCTCGTAGGCCAGAAGACAGTATACAAAGTAC